AGCTAAATATTTTTTCAACGTACTTTGATACGCAGTACTAAACGAAAATCCAAAGTATAAGAAGAACTAAAAAATAAATGCCTTGAAAGTCTGAGGTTCCAATTGCGTAAACATTTATTTGTATGATTTAATTTTCGAAAAATAATATGGCTAGCCTCTCTTAAACTTTCATATGTTATAGAGAATTGTAAATTAAAATAGGTTTTTTTATTTTACAAATATTAGATGTGAAATCTTTTTTTCTTCTCTATTTCCCCTTAATTTCTAAGACCTTATTTAAGAAGTTAGTAAGTATAAGTATATAGCGAGAAAGACTCGTTGCTTTCTTTCGCTATGATATACGCGGGTATATATAGTTATATAGCTGTAGTCGGCATTTCCATGCACACCACTCCTCTCTCCGTAGGCACATATTCAGTATACCCCTTCCACGCGTCTCCGAAGTATGTGCCTACATGCCCATTTCCACGCGAATCTGTAGGCACACACTCGGTATACCCCCTCCACGCTTCTCAAATAAAAAAAAAAATATGTGTGCCTGGTTCGACCGCTTGGCCGCGACGGGGCGCTCGAAACAGTGGCCAAAAGTGAACTCGCGCCGTAGCATTGCAGTCAGCAATCTCTCTACTAATCTCTGGTTTGAACAAGCGAGTAGCTGTCGGACTAATGTTTGTTGGTGCGCTGCGGCCGCGGCGGCGCGTGGCACACAGCGAAAGGGGATGGTGTTGAAAGGGAAAAGGAGCATCTCTATAACTGACCTGCATGCTAGTGAGCTTCAAGGGAGTGAGCAGCAGAACCACCGCCATTCGGTGCAAAATCTACAAGGCGTATATATCTATATATGTAATTTGCCACAAACAAAGAGTGAAATGCTGTGTTAATCATATGGGTCGTGACAGCCAATCAGCTACTGTCCCGCGTTCTGCTGCTTACTCCCTTGGATCTCACTACTGCATGCCTATTAAGATATAGAGATATAAGCGTGGCTTGTATCTCTATAAAGTTAACCGTCATATCGTGCGTGGTTAAAAATTTATGTTAATAAGGCCATACAGTAATGTAACAGGGGAATAATAGAATAAACAAAGTTAGAGAGAGTGGGGCCTTTTAAAACTGAAGTATTAGATTGGTACAATGAAAAAAGCTGACTGCGAAATTGAGTCATCACAAAATAACACAAATGAGTGAGAATGATTTATGATAACATACAGTTAATAATTGCAATAGTTACTTACCATTGCTACAATTATACTATGTTTGCTTATAATTCAAGGTAAAAGTAAACCATTGTATGAACTAAATAGTTACACCTGACAGCTGAAAAATTAAAAAAAAATTGAAAACGAGTATATACTATCTATCATACTATGATAAATGTATTTCACTTAAGAAAAATGAGCACCTCACCTCATAGTTCTTAATGCTTCCAATTTCTACTTCGTGATTTCTATCTACAACTCTTGTATTCGGTTTCGGTTTTGAATTAAAAACGTTCTTATTATCCTCATCAGAGTCATGACTTGAATTTTCTGGAGGGTTATCTCTTTTCGAGGTGCCCTTCCTAGTATTTCCTCATTTTAGATGTATAAATTATATGACAATGCAATTAATTGTAACTGTACCATGTACAGTTGAAATGTATAAGAAATTTCAGTCGCACAATGTGTTCTATACATACGATTAGATAATAGCTATGCTCAACTATCAGATGGGACAATTATCAGAATAGTTTATTTCGTAGTTGATATGGATACAAAGAAAGAATTAATACTCTGCCATATAATGAACGCATCTAGTAGGATAACATTCTCAACTCAATCTATTGGTTCCATTGGTGCTGAATTAGTTACGTTTGAGACTGACAGCTTAAGTAAAATTGTTGTTTGTGTAGAGATTGAGGATAAAAAGTACATTGCCCAGATGCCCAACATCTACCACTACTAAATTATGTCTACCAGCATCGAATCAAAAAATGTACTATAAAAAGGCCACTATTTTTTTATTATTACATTCTTAGAATGAAAATGCCACAAACGTTTATTATTTTACGAAAATGAATTGAAAAAATATGTTTGTTTAACATTAAGAATTTATTGTAATACCTTAATCCTTAAATTTCCAATGCTTTATCTCAAATGTATCATACAGACCAGTTATATGCAAGCCCTTTGTGCGTAATTATATGATGATAAAATACTTATTTCACTATTTCAACAAATAAGACATTAAAGATTCAAAGTGTGTGAAACGTAGACATTTTTTGGTAATTTTAGCAAAACTTACTTCATAGGCATCGTGGCTACTCGTGTGCGATTACTCTGTCACAAAAATTATTAACGTATAATTGGTCCCCAAACTAAAAAGCTGATTTTAAAGAATATAATTTGATGTGCGGGTTTATTTTCAGCCAAAATATCGTTTGCATAACCTGTCCATAGCCGGAAATCCACACACAAGCTTCATTACTATTATAATCATACATACGATTTCTGTATGGCCATTCAATACAGACCTTACTTTGTTCATTAACTGATAAAGTTGGGGGTGTATTATCGTGTACTTAAATAAGTAAAAGTTACATTTGGTATTTATTAATGTATGCAGTGATATTTTTTTTATTTTATTAACGTAATTACACGTGACATGCGATGTGGAATGCCATGTGTAATGCTATGTGTAATGCCATGTGGAACGCCATCAAGCATTATACATGAAATTTACCAACCAATTACCTGCATGGAATACCACATGGCTTTACACATGAGTTTTTTCGTGAGATTACACAAATAACTTACTGTGTAATTTCTAGTGGAATAACGTAATACCAGGCAGTAGGGTATGTTGTACAGCAAAATTTATACCATCACAGTTTTAACTATATTAGACATAGTAACTTTCATTATGTCATGCAATAATTTTTGTAGGGCTGCCACATAACAATAATTATTTGAAATATAATAAGAATTACTATAAAAGTAATAATTTGCGTCAACAGGTAAGTATATCTCTGCTTTCCTAAAAATATAGTAATTTTTAGAATAGTTATAATACTTTTTTAACATTAGTTTATTTTCAGTGTATGTTTGTGTAAAAAAGCTATGTCTGAGCCTAAGGGCAATGATGAATAATAGAAAAAAAAAAAAAACTGTATGTCATTTCACTTCATAATTGTGACATTTCACCTGATCGTAAAATATGTTCCTGCCAACAGATCTTATAAGTTTTTGCATATGATATTTTTATCAAAAATTTTTTATATAATGTTACAGGTGTACATCATGCAATATACTAATGAACACATCTTATAGTCATGTGAGCTTACACATTTTATAAAATAACCTTTTGCAAAAAAGATTTGTGTATCTTTTAAGAGCACTCTTACATTTCAAGTTTTCTTACAAAAAACAAGTATAAATAGAATCTGAGACAAAGAGAAGTTCGACCCATTGCGTTATAATTAAGTGGACTAACAATATTTTCTGTCTTTCAACGTAATCAAACACAGCTTTTAATTATATAAAAAAAAGTAGGACTAACGGATAAAATTGTAGATACAGAAAAAAAATACTAACAACGTATTTCTATAATAGTACTCTGTTATCTACTTATTCTAAACTAGCGTATTGAACGTTATTTAACCAGTAATACAATACATCATCTACGTTGTTAATTGATATTTGTTACGTTCAAGCAAAAAATGCTTGACGAACGTGGGGATCTTAATACCGATTGTTCGGGAATTACTGAGGATCAATAAACTGTTGAGTGATAGTAGTTTAAATAGCGTTTATTTAATAACGTATGTATTTACAATAGCGGTTAGCGGAGCTCAGAGCACAATTGATGTTGGCTCTTTGCTTGTTGAAACGTATCTGGTTTATTACAATAATAGCGGAGAGAATAACTAAAACTAACTATACAAATATACACTGTAGTCGTTATATAAATCAGAGTATAAAAAATGTGATAAGATAAGAAAATATAAGTTCTTAAATTAAAGTATGTATAAATGTAAAGGGAAAGTTATGAAATTGATAAGCGTTACTTTTAGATGATAAAGCAAAGATAAAGCTATTACAATTCCAGGAAATATAACTATTGCATTTAACATATTGTGCTAAAGAAAATTAGAAAATGAAAAGAGAATTAAAAGCTCACGATTGGCGTGAACATACCGCCCGCCATTTTATTATAAAAAAATAAAATTATGATGCGTCGATGTTCTGGCGAAATTCGATGATAGAGTTGATGGCAGCTTAGATGGCCCGATCGGCCCGGATAAAATCCAACCCAATGCAGTCTGCTGAGCGATGGGTGCATCGGGACGCTGAGGTTGAAGAAGACCTGGTCGTATTATTTGGACGTACACTGCAGCGCCTAGTAGCAGTTCAATTGGTTTACTAGATGGCAAATCCAAACGGTCGGCAAGCTGCAGTTCACGTAGATGAGGCCATCCGTCGGTAGGCCGATGCACTCGAGGTCGATATGACGTGACCACCTTGAGCACATTCACATCAAGAGAGTAGGGAGCACATCAAGACTTGACTGTGATCCTGCTTCGGCCATGGGCAGCTGTAGGATGAACACCACTTACGTCATCGATCGATACACAAGCAGGGCTGCGTGGAAGCTGCAGTGAGTTGGCCAAGCATTGCAACAGGAATGAGCACTGTGATCCTTGATCGATCAACGCTCGAACACAATGTTTCTGGCCATCCGCCCCCACCAGACTGACCCATGCTGTGGGTAGCAATGTTGGCGCAAAAGATGTTGTTTTGCTTACCGAAACGTTGAGAGGCTCATTGCATCGAATCGGCACAGAAGAATTCGCAGAGACTACAGCTACATGGGTGTCTGTTGAGGCGTCAACGTGTATAGACGTGTGGTGCTTAGCCCCACAAACAAAACAAGTCCTCCCGGAGTGACAGGTTAAAACTTCGTGAGAGCCCAAGCAGTTCTCACATAACTGCTTCTCAAGCACAAATTCCCTCCTTTGCATTAGATTTCTGGCTTTAAAGGCTTCGCAAGTCCACAGCTGATGACGCAAGGAGCAGAGAGAGCATACCGGCACCTTCGATCTGTATGATTCCTGGTGCGTATGCATGCCTATTGACCGCTGCCCTTTCCCGTTGCTTGAGGCTACGCTTGACAGCGTCAGGATGCGTCCCTCGAGAAACTCAGTCAGCTGACTGAATGCAGCCGGCTCTCTCGAAGTTTCGAGCGATTTTTCCCAATCGCGACGTGTTACGGCGTCCAGTCTATTTGCAAGGATATAAACTAAGACGTCGTCTGAAATTGTTGGCCGTTTAAGATTTTTAAGTCCTTTGACAAGATTTTTGGCGGTTGAAAGGATCCGACTGAGGTCTGCCGCATCCTCACCACTGACACACTTCATCAAGAAGAAGCCGTTTAATAGTGCATTAACTTGCACGCGTGGCATCTCAAATGCATCAAACCCAATAACCCTTAGCACGTCCCAAGTCCGTTGAAAATTGTCACCCTCGAGAGAGATGCCACGGACGAGCTCAGCTGCGTCTCCAGCCAGACTTGATTTTAAATAAAACAACTTTTCAACGTTGTTTAATAACGAGCTGAAAGAAACGCCAGAAATAAACAAGTCACGAAACTCTGGCCACAACTTGTAGTCACCCATGAAGGTCGGCAACTTGATCTTGGGCAGTTTGCGCAAAGATGACGTAGGTGCTGACAGAGCTTGAGAAGACGATGAGGCAGTCGGAAGTATCGGCGCAGGATAGGTCTCGAGAAGTGACAGCATAGTGGCAAGGGCAGTCAGAAAAAATTCCTCGGTTTTTGCGTAGACATCGTTTTTGATATAATCCTGCTCGCTTAGATTTTCTTGTAGGCTAAGAAGAGTAAGATGATTGTTTTTGAATTCCTTCCAATTCGTATCCAGGCTATTCATACGAACTGTGATAACGGCGTTAGAATAATTTGCTGTGCCCATTTTAGTAAGGTTAGCCAAAGCATTTTTTATAGCATTTTGAAGGTTTTCCTGGCGTGCGAGTAATGCATCAGCCGAACTTGCCATGCCACCCGCCGTGCTAGAACGTTACACAAAATCAAAAGTTCACGGCACTGACTGGCACACAAACACGATGGTCACTGCACTTAGCGTATATTGTATTTTTTAACAGTCAAATGTCACTCTCGCAATCCCGAACCAAGCTCTGCTACCAAAATGTTACGTTCAAGCCAAAAATGCTTGACGAACGTGGGAATCTTAATATCGATCGTTCGGGAATTACTGAGGATCAATAAACTGTTGAGTGGTAGTAGTTTAAATAGCGTTTATTTAATAGCGTATGTATTTACAATAGTGGTTAGCGGAGCTCAGAGCGCAATTGATGTTGGCTCTTTGCTTGTTGAGACATATCTGGTTTATTACAATAATAGCGGAGAGAATAACTAAAACTTACTATACAAATATACACTGTAGTCGTTATATAAGTCAGAGTAGAAAAAGAGATAAGATAAGAAAATATAAGTTTTGAAATGAAAGTATGTATAAATGTAAAGTGAAAGTTATTAATTTGATAAGTGTTACTTTTAGATGATAAAGCAAAGGTAAAGCTATTACAATTCCAGGAAATATAACTATTGCATTTAACGTATTGTGCTAAAGAAAATTAAAAAATGAAAAGAGAATTAAAAGTTCACGATTGGCGTGAACAATATTAACTCAGACGTTAATGTTTTACAATCTATCTACGGGAAACTAGATGGTGCTTTAACATCAGCCAAAATAACTATTGCTGTGTACATATTTGCTACGAAAAAGAAGTTTTCTTGATGATACAAATCTTAAAAAATGTATGTTATTCAGCAGTATACAATAGTTATTAATAGTATACCCTGTATTAAAAACAAAGTAGAAAGTTGACTGACGACATTTCCTATGTGACAGATAACATCTAAAAGTTATTTCAAATTAAATAATGATCAAATAAAGGAACCATTGTTATATTTTTAATACCAACTCCACAATTTTCTGATGGGTTCATAAATGTCAATGCACTTTGTTCAAGTATTTTGCTATTCTATAAAATAAATATGTATTATCATCACAGAGTATTTAGTATATCTAAAGATGTATACATACATTTATGTGACCAAGAACATAACTGTTAATTTTTTTTTTTTTAGCTTATGAAATATACAATATGCAGAGTATTTAGGTAAACATTACATCGGTGACTACATAAGTCCAATTCAGGAAAGTTATTTTAATGTGTTATCATTAAGTTCAAGGAGTCTTGGGCGTTTGGTGTCGTATCTATTGAGGGGCCCCTGTGGGGTACTTGCCATACAAATGAGTGTTTGTAAAATTTTTTTATAATCATTTTGATTATACACATGTGTAAACAAAATAGCAATAATACGCGGAAAAGTCGTTGGGAAAATCGATATTAAAAAATTTATTAGGTTTCCCGAGGTACCTTGTGTAAAGATGACAGCCCTGCCACGATAAAGCTGACAACACTGTACTCTCTTGCTCTTATCTGCTATTATATACCTATACTTGTGTTAGACTTCAATTTTCATGCTTGTATGTTTATGAATGTACACCTCATGCGCACTTACAGTACCTAAACAAAACAATTCTCATGTTTGATGTTTTCCTCACTATTTTCTCAAAATTTAACGTGTTGATTCTATTCTTTTTTTTAAATAATAGATTCTTTATACTTTCAAGTACATGTACCAATATAATGTGTGAGCCCACAGCTTTATATTGCGGTACGGTAGTCTATTAATTTTCGGGTTCCGTAAGGTTGCGTGTTAAGATGACGAATTTTCATAAGCGATTTTCTTGAAAATACATGTGTTAACCTACCTATTTTGTTTTCCTAAAAAAATCTAGCAAACCTTATCTATATAATCTCTGAATTTCAGACCTAGTCAGCATTTAATTCAAAATTGCCCAAGCCTCCTTAATGATTTAAGTTTACATGTGTGCACACATATTAAGGCTCATTTAACCAGAGCCATACTTTGCAGAGATGGCAATTATACAAATTTTTTAATGTACTTAAATTTGTTGTAGGTAAATGAAATGTTTTTATTTTATATATTTTGAATGAACACAATCTTACAAGAAAATATTTTTTTACAGTGAGAGACTCACTGTTACTTCATACATCAAAATGAAGCAGAGATTTATGTTGAAGGATTACAAATGTTCTTCATGATTTTTTTTTAACTTAAATGTACTACGTGGAATTATTGATTTGTGTTTGTGCTCAGTGCAGTCTGTCATATTGTCAAAATTATTAAAAAATATTTATTTAATATTTTCACTAAAAAATAACGGCTAGAACATTTGTGATACTCAAGCAATACTTGCTTTTATGTTGTGTACTTTCACTTATTTTAATACTGATAAAAAATTAAAAATTAATTGTTTAAGATTATGAGCAGTGTTATAGATATTTGTATTATGAGATATTAACATAAAACCATGCAAATTGTTATGAAACAATTTTAGGATACAACATGAACAGTGTACAATATTTTAATAAACAAACATAATTAAATAATGCAACATAAATACTGAACTTTATTATGTAGACCAATTTATGAAAGAAACCTCTTATCTTACGTGGTATTATCCTGGTGGTTGAGTAGTGCTCGCAAAGTAGTCCATTGCCTGGAGACAAAAAAATACGATTTAATCTTATGTTTTCAGTAGAGAAAAAACTGGTCATGAACCTCTACAGAATTGCCCCAGGAACACGGAAAAATCGGTTTTGTCTGCATTTATGGCTCTTAGAGAAATTCTACAACCGTTAATCTTTTCGTCATTAAATTTCTAATAAAATTGACACTTTTGCAAATCCTTTATTTATTGTTTATAACACAATAATGGCAAATTAGTGCAAAAAAAATTTTATTTTATACCAAAGAACTTTCAACTGACGTAGAAAAAAAGCGATACCGTGTCAGTTTCAATACGAAACCATGACAAAACAGAAATATTACATTGCATAATAAAAATCTATTTGTGAAACAGTAAAATAATTATTAGTTTTTGTTACTTAAAGCTTTAAAGTAAAACTTTGAAGTGTTATTACTAACTTAATTGTCGGTTTATCGGCATTTGTTTTAGGAAAAAACATCATATTTAATGTTAATAATGATATTAAACAANCTACTACAAACTTATTTGTCGGTTTATCGGCATTTGGCTTAGGAAGAAATATCATATTTAATAATGTTAATAATGATATTAAACAAAACAAAAATGTATTTTTTGCACTTTTCGACGTTTTGCCACGAAAAATTTAAATTTGCAATTTAAACAATTAAACATATCTTAGTCAATTTTGCAATTTTATTTTCAACAAAAAGCACTGTATTCATCTTAAAAAAACACACATTAAAAAAAAAATTCTTTAGTTTATACTCTGAAGTCGAGATACAAGAAATCGACGCTTTTTGCAATAACAGACTCATAATACAACTTTGTATTGCGAAGAAATTTGTTTTTTATCCTAATGTATTTTTACGTAACACTGCTGGAATACTTTATAAATTCCATGGAAAGAGTAGCTTTAAAAATCAAGAAAGTCACATGGTGACAGCTGGTAGCAGCTCTGCGCTCCCATCTGCACCCCTCTCCTGCGACTATGTAGTTGACCACAGGCAACCATTTGCCGTGCGCATAGGACAAAACACGGGCTTTGGCTAGAGCTTGAATTCAAATAAACTTTTGATGATAATTGTACAGTTTTAAACATTGGTAAAGATAAAAAGAACGTAATTCAAGTATAAATGCTTAAGAAACTGTATAGTAAATGTATTTAATGCAATAGACTATGTTTCTATCTATAGAACTATGTACAACATGTTATCAATTTAATACACCTAGTGACAGCATTTTATCTATTTTTAGATACACACATCCAATATTGATAGTCAGATGATTTGTATATAAGTTACAGTTTCTTTAGAGATGGATATGTTAATTTTATTGAGATTATAAATATTCACAGGTACGTTAAAGATAAATACATTAATTTTTTTACCTGGGGAAACAAGATGTTATCTTATTTTTATGATAAGACAAATACTATTTTAATACTGTGGTGACTATAGGAACTGTCACGAAATGGTCTTTTCTTGGATACAAAATTAAATGGTTCCATTAAGTGGTAGATAATGAACGTTGCCTGATCTTTGAACCATAGAGTTACCAGTACCGCTTACTTCGCATTTAGGTGACGGTTTTCCGTAATGGCCATAAATTAAGTACATAAACGTTAAGGTATACTAGTAAAAGTCGTTCGAATTCGGAAGTTATGCTCAACGGCAATGGGTTGGTTCCAAAAGTCAACTTAGTTAAGAAAATGGCAGCACCATTGCTCTTTTCAGTAGGTTCTTCACACATAGTAATTTCTGTAGGATCTTCCTGAAATGTCACCAGGATGTTTGTAATAATGTTGGAGAGTCACACGTAAACTTTTAAGACCATTCCGCTACAACATTCTTTTTAGATATGATATGTTTAAAAAATCTCAATTGAATACGTAATCTTATGGAGGAGTCAGGAGTCGCATGAAAATTGAATCCATACGGAAATTATCAATTTAATTTATCCCATTTTTTTGCGTGATGCAATACCACAAAAGAAATATTATAATACATTTTTAGAGAGATCGATAAATTATTTTTGCAATAAAAAAAAAAATGGTCAGATGCAAATATATAGAAGTATACTCATCCATCCAAAACTATTGCCAGTGCTGCAGAGGTCTGATTCCCACTTTTTGATATAGCCAGATAACATTCGATACAGTGCTCTGATTTGCTAGATTGCTTTTAACTAACCGTTTGCTCTAAGAAACTAACCGAATAAAGCACAAGTTTTGCGATCTATGAAACAACATCGGGTGTTATATCAAAGTGTGATCGGGATCAGACCCCTGCATGCTCACTTTCTCCTTA